TTTTTTTTTTTGCAGTACTGGGGATTAAACCCAGGGCCTTCTCACTGAGCTTCCTCCTCAGCATTTTTAAATTTTTCTTTTCTTTTGAGACAAGGTCTCGGTAAGTTGCTAAATTGCCTGCTGGGCTCGAACTTTCCATCCTTCCTGCCTCAGCCTCCCAGAATGCTGGGATTCCAGGTCGGGGGCCACCATAGCAACCTGGGATCTGGAACTTTTTAAGGCAAAGGTGGAGTGGACAAAGAGGTGACTGGGGGTGGGGCAGAGCCGGGACATTCCGGCTCCTCAGCCTCCCTGCCCCCAAAGTAAACTAGCAGGTGGGAGGTGCAGGTGGAGCGGCTCGGGTTTCAGGCTGGGGACACTCCTTCCCAGCTCTCGGGACAATAACAGGCTCCCTTTGCCCTGGAAATCCCACTTCTGTAAAGTCTCAGAGTAGAAATAAGCTCTGTGCCCGAACATGTTTGCTCCAACCTCGTTTATAATGGCGAAGTAATTAATAGAAAGACACCTAAATGTCCCACACTGGGGACAAGGCTAACAATGGGCCTCCGGCTGAGCGACGTCCAGGTCTGAGAAGTGCAGACATACTGGGGGTGGAAGGCCTGGGGGAGGAGGTGGGCAGCGGGGGGAGTGGCAGGTAGGCAGGTGGGGTTCAATGCTGCTCCTTCCCTTCTAGCTGTGTGCCCTGGGACCATAAATGAAAGCCCTGTGTGCCGTTATTACAGACAGCTAAATTAGATATTCTAGGCAGTCAGACAGGGCCAGGCCCTTACAGGAGTCAGTGCAGAAGATAAGAACATATCACAACTGTGGCTGGAGGTGCATCCCTCGAAGGCCAGGCCTCAAGATAAACACGGAATGACCAGGCCTACATGCCTCCCCAAGGGATAAACAATAAATTAAAGATTATACTATATTTGGTATCACCTGGTCCAATAAGGTCTAGATAGACATCAGTTGCCTAAGTGGGTGACCAGGACCCCCTGATCCATCCCTTCCCAAAAAAGGTCTTTGTTCTTTCCATGTACACTTGCTACATGCCCTGTTTCCCTGTTGGATCACTATTCCCTAAGCAGCTACACTTGTAATCTTATTGGTTAGTCATAGTTTTGTACCCACCTCATGATTTTGGACTCACCTCTTGATTTTGCTCTATAAAACTTCGAGAAGTGGGCTTGCTGGCAACTCACTTTCAGGTCCCCTCCTATCTCTCAGGAGCTCTCTCTTTCAGTAAATTTTTCCTACTCTTAACCTGCATTGTTTCATGCAATTCATTCTTCGATTTGGGGGAACACAAACTTGGTATATTGGACATCTAACAGGTTTACAGTTATATTATTTCTCTTATATCACCACAATTTCTTCATCATAAACTGGAACTGATTAATGGACCCACCTCCTCAGTGTACGTGAGCATTAAGTGAGTTAATATGAGTTGGGTGTGGTGGTGCACTCCTGTAATCCCAGCACTTGGGGAGGCTCAGGCAGAAAGACTGTAAACTCGAACCCAGCCTGGGCAACTGAACAATTTAGCAAGACTTTGTCTCAAAATAAAAAAATAAAAAAAAGGCTAGGGATGTAGCTTAATGTGAAGGCCCTGGGGACAAGCTCCAGCACAAAACCGAACAAAACAGACTTAGTATGCTGGAGTTTCTGGAACCTGCCCAGCAATCTGTAGGACACCTTTATTTGTCAAATGAAGTAACTTGTGTCATGAGCAGACCTGTGCCCACCCAGGGGTTGATGCCCCCTGTGGGGATGGGCAGCCTTTATAAGACATTTGGACTCAGACATGAGGAACATGCCACATAGAACAGTGAGAGAGCAGGTGGCCATCCCCAGACCGAGGACAGAGGCCTCGGGAGAAACCAACGCTGCCCACCTGACCTTGGACTTCCAGCTTTCAGATTTTGAAAAAATAAATTTCTATTGCTTAAGCCCCATCTTTGCTATTTTGTCACAGCAGTGGAGAAATGCACAGGCCCTGGAGCTGGGGGTGCGGTGCAGCCCCCAAGGCTGCCTACAGCCCCGGGGAATCTCACATACTTAGCCCCTGCCTCGCAGCCTTACTCCTTGGAAGGGCTGTATCCCCCTCTAATTCCTGGCACCAGGGTAGGGAGAGGCACTCATAGACGCGTGCTGGTCAAGGCAGTGGTGGCTACACGGGCGGATATTCCAGCCTTAGGAGTGCGTCCCAAGCGAAGGGAAGCTCCTGCTGCCTTCTGGGATAGGGGATCCCATATTTGGCATCAGTAGTGGGGTCCTTTGACTCTCTTGGCCAAGGGTCAAGTCACCCTAGGCCCTTTCCCGGGTGTGGCCCTGGGCAGCTCTCACCACCCCTCTGGGCCCTGGTCTCCTCTTATGGGAAATGGAACACTGGTCCCCACCTCAGGTAGGGGTGGGAGGTTAGAGAAAACACAGGGGGCAACAGGCCAGAGACAGACAGCTACCTCCCTGTCTCCCTACCCCCCGGTAGCCATGGTAGTATGGTAGTATGGTTAGCATGCAGTAGCTGCACAGCAGGCCACATGTCCCAACTCACAGCGATGCCCCCACTGGCCGCCAGGAGAGGCAGTCAGAGGTGGCTGGAGGCGGAGAATCAGGATTCGGTGAATTCCAGTAGGCATTCTCCAAGGGTGAGGTCACTACCTCTGGCTCCCCAGGGCTGCCCAAGCCTAGAGGGAGGGGGCAGTGGCAGGGGCCAGGGCTGGCACACCAGGTCCAATTAAGCCTGATACTGGGCCAGGCCCTCTCCCTTCCCTGGTGGGTGCTGGGCCTTATCTTGGGAAGCTGGTGTTTCCTGTTTGAGCTGCAGCTTAGGGCAGCAGAGCTGGACAGGGAAGCAAAGCGGCTGACATTCGTCTACCCCCCACCAGGTGACAGAGTACTGCCACTTGCTGTGCCACTTAATCCCCCCCGGGGCCTAATTTTCAGGGAGTGCAGTTGGGGCTCAGATTGGTGAAAAACCTTGACCAGAAGGCAAGCGGTCTGACTAGTAGGTATAAAACAGAAACTTTGGGGTGAAACATGTCTGGGTGGTAATCAAAAGTTCTGAGATTCCTTCATGCCAAGTTACTCATGCCCCTGGAGCCTCAGTTTTCCTCATCTGTAAAATGGCACAACAGCAGTCCGTTCTGTTGGCGGTATTGTGAAGACTCGGTGAGATCACACAGATAACGTGCTCTGCAGGTGCAAGCCACCGTTATCACCACTTTGCTGATGCAAATACCAAGTCTCAGGATGGAGAATCAGCTTGCACGAGGTCATACAACTAGCGGGTCCCAGGCGTGGGATGTGAACCCAGATCTGATTGTTCCTGCTCAGATTTCCTGTGGAGCCACAGACCCCAGCCCAGGCCAGGGTTCAGGGTGTTCCGGGCAGGGAGGAGGAGCTGCAGCGGCATCCTGCCTGCAGACGACGTGGCCTGGTATTGTTTTCAGGCTCTTCTCAGCCCAGGGTCCACACAAGGGATTTCCGCAGCCTGGCCAGAACTGGCTTCACTTTCCAGAAAAACCTTCCCCGAGTGGCAAGGGGGGCCCTCGCTGGGCAGGAACTGCTGGGAAGGGCAGCAGTGACAGCATCATCAACATCCTCTTGAGCCCATGGGTCCTGGACCTGGAGTCCACTCTTGTCACTCGCCTCTCCTGCAGCCAAGGGGAAAGGGCCTCCGTGCCTCATTGTTGCTTTAGGGCTGCAAAGTCAGGGCACTCGGGATCAACTCCAAGTCCTACACAAACACTGTCTGTTAAGCCTCAGCCAAGTCTCCCCTTCCCTGCACCCTGTGGACGGAGGCTAATGGCAGCCCAGGTCCCTCACGCTTCTCACAGCCACCAGGAGCCACCCACAGGTCCTTGCTCTGGCGTCTTTGGCACTTAAACTCCTTGCAGGCATGATCAGCTCCCCGGGTCCTGCACAGTTAGAAGGAAGCCATGGTGGTGACCATGAAACGTTCATTCCGAATGCTGGGTAAACTGGGCACCAGAACAACGGGGAGAGGAAACCTCCCACAATGCTTTGGGACTGAACCTTGCCCCCTTTGTGGGCTTCCCCACCTGGGGTTGAGAGGCTTTCAGCAGCTGTGATTCCCCTGCAGCTATGTCCCCCACCCTGATCCTGGAGCCCTGCAAGGCACCCGAATCTACAGCGCACCTGCTGCCAGGGCCAGCCGGGTGAGGGCAGCGCTGTGGAATTAGGATCACCCTACAGACTCTGCTCACAGCCAGTGACTCAGCCAGCGGCAGCTGCGGGGACAGAGATTGCCAACCCGGAACAGCCGTGGCCCTGGCCATGGGCTCCCCTTGCCTGGTGACGCACCTTTTAAGGCTGGGGAGCTTGGGGTGGTGAGGAGGCCCTGCCCATGGCACCAGGCCTCTGTAGACCTTCCACACCCTTAAAAGTGAAGCAGTTGGACCCCCGACCTGCGTTCATAATTGGCAAGGTCACCTTTAGAGGTGACCCTGGGCAAGTCAATTTCTCCGAACCAGTTTCACTTATAACATAGAAATAATGCTTGCCTCACAAGAGTGGAATTAAATGAGGTAATGCGCGTAGAAAGTGCTTGGCGAACGGTACCTTTTAAGGAGTGGCAGTGGGGTGCAGCGGAAGGGCCCATCCCTTACCCACTGGCTGGCTGTTACTCAGTCTTTGATCAGCATCTCTTACGTAAAATGAGCTGACAGGCTTGCCTGTCCCGTCAGCCTGTTGGGACGTCAGACTCGCTGGCTTTTTTTCTTTTTGGATTTTCAGACAGGGTCTTGCTATGTAGTTTAGGCTGGCCTTGCGCTCACTGGGTAGCCCAGGCTGGCCTTCAGCCTCCCAAGTACCAGGATTACAGGTGTGTACGACCACGCCTGGCTCTCAGGCATGCTTTATATCATGATGCCCGGAGGAGGCAGGAAGGCGACACCGGGGCCTCGGACCCGTCAGGCCACCCATTGCTCCATGACCTTGAGCGTGCTTGGTAAATTTGGTGCAGGTCCCACATGGGACAGGTGAACGAGGCCCCAGAAGTCCCCTCACGGAGCTACTTCGGGGGAAGCACAGGACATGGGTGGTGTGCACTCCTCCTGCTCACAGCGTGTAGCCTGTGCAGGAGTCACCACACACGCTTCCTTTTCCACTACTGCCACTTGCTTTGTTCCCATCTGCCGTGTACAGATCACAGACCCACAGTCTTTCAGAGGCCACAGGTCTCTCTCTGAGCCAGTGCTTTCTCTGCATCAGCAGTGGCAGCCTTCCCAAGGCAGTTCCGGGCGGCCTTGGGCAGTCCTAATGCGAACAGGGCGAGCCACCGGATAGACGCCCATGCCCTCGGACAAGCATGCCTAGTGCGGAAGAGCAGGGTGTCAGGACAGCCCTGCTACCGAGTACCCAAGACTGGCAAGCCCCTGGTGGCTCTCCCGGGCACGTGAACCAGCGTGGCCCTCAGCCCTGGGAAGGAGAGGCTGGGTCTTCTTCGGTGGAGGGGAGCTGGGAACCTGGAGAGGTTGGGATGCAGGCGGCCACAAGGCCCCGGACTTCCTGCAAGCATAGACCGGAAGGCAGGCCAGCGCTCTTGGGCTGGCACCTGAGTGGCCGCCAGCCAGTCATTGGAGAGAAAACGCAGAGGATCAAGCAGATCACTGCTAAGAGCTCCGGTTTCAGAAGCAACACACTGGGCAGAAACCGGTAATGTGCACAGCACCTTCTGGCCTTAGGGTGGCATGAACATGTGTGTGGTGTCCACAGAATGGCAGCCACTATGGGCAAGAGCGTGAGTGCCAGGAGGGGCTAGGTAGGGCAGACACAAGGATGGCCACGGAGCCCACCAGTGTCCTAGGGCTTAAGGTCCAGCTGGAATGGAAGCTGGCAACAGAGTGAGCCCCAGGTTTATTGGTCTGGTTTGTTTGGTTCAGCCTCTTGCTCACAGAAGCAAGGACCCAGCCAACGGCAAGGAAGGTGGTGCCTGGAGCTTTGCAGGTCAAGGGGCTGCAGGCTCCCAAGCCCAGCACTATTCTGTCCTGAGCCTGGGAAGGAGGCAGAGAGGGCTCTGGGGGCGGCTACGGGGATCTGAGTGCAGGGCCCCACGGTCTGTTCTTCATAGCAGGAGGCAGAAGAGATCACATAAAGATCTTTATTACAGACCTACAAAAAATGAGAGAATTATATATTACTCTCACTTGTTTGGTTTCTGGTTTCCTTTTTCTTCTTACAAAACAGCAGCAGGAAAGAAAAATGCAGGAGGCCGATGAGCCAGGCCGGGGGTTCAGGTCAGAGGGGACCAAGGTGCTGCTGCTGGGAAAACCACACTGCAGGCTGGCCCCAGGCTCTTGCCAGCATCTTGGGAGAAGTGTCGTGGGCTTTGCAGGGAGGGGACAGGAGATGGGTGGGAAGGCGACGCCCGGACTGGTAGCACCATCGCTCCTCTGATGGCCACTGGCACTGGCCAACTTGGAAGCACTGGTGGCTCTGTGGTCTCTACAGCACTGTCCTCAGGGAGAAGGCAAGGGCGGCAGGAAGGGCTGTTGAGTTCTACTGGGCTCCCTGGCTGGGACCAGGGTCCGGGGGGCAAGGGCAGTCAGGACTCTTCCCTGCTTGTCAGCCAATCAGTTTCTTCAGGAAGGCCTCCAGCTGGTCCTCGTCCTTGATGCCCACAAACTTGTCCACCACGTCTCCATTCTTGATGGCCAGCACCGTGGGCACAGCAGACACCTGGGTGGGAGGGACACGGGGTCCAAGTCATTTGAGGGCAGCACTTCTCCAGCGCCTTTGCCAAGCCTGTGCGGAGAAGGCTTGGGCTCCTCCATGGTAGTGACTGCCCAAAGCCATGGGTGGGGCCGCAGGAAAGAGGCCCTTCCCTTGGGGTACCCGCCGGAGAAGCTTCTTCCACTGCGAGCTCCCAGCAGTACCCTCTTCCCCCAACCACACTGACTCACTGGCCCAGTGGTTTGGCTGGAATGACAGGAGAGATGAAAATAACCCGTGCAGCTGCAGCTGCAGCCAGGGCTGGGGCTGGGGCTGGGAGGAGCTGTGGGGCAGCAGGGAATTCGGGCTTTGCTGTACTGGTCAGGTCATGCTGCTTTTCTGAGCCTGAGGCCTCCTCCATGAAGCAGAGGGGACAAGGTCTACCTTGAGGGTTTGGCCCAGGGATTAAGGGTTCACACATAAAGCTGAGTGGTCGGAGGCTCAGGTTCTGCTAACCCGATCTGGCTGCTGCCCGCCGGGTGAACCTGGCCAGGTACTGTGTTACTCTGAGTCTCAGGGTTCGAAGCAGTGAGCAAAGACACTAACAGCGCTTATGGCAGAGCGCAGGGAGGTGACAGGAAACACTGCGAGTCACGTTTCAGCCCAGGACTGGCATCGGGCCTGGCACACATCGGGCACTCAACAATGGCGGCTGCAGAGAGCACCATAAGGGCCACTTTTGAGTACTGCTGTGAATGGTTAACACGGTCCAGAAATACACAGCCTCCTCCTGGATCATGTGCGGGTAGGGCATGGCCATACATGATCTGAAGTTTATTTATCGGGGCCAGAATGCATGGGAAAGGCAACATTCCTGGTCCATGAGGCACTGGCGGCAGCACCTCGGGACGCATACAAATCACACAAAGCATGGATAACCCAGGCCCATGCTGGCATGGAGTGTTTCCCCACGTCTGGGCTCCCTGCCTGGCATCTGAGAAAACAGGATAAACAGAACAAGAGAAATACACAATCTCCTTACACACAAGGGAAGTACAAAGTAACACGAGGGACTTACACAAACCTGCGGCCGCACACAGCCTGAATACTGACCGCCCCGACTGAGCACCGTGGGGCCAGGACGCGTGCACACACCAGGCATCGAAGGAAGCACAGTCCTCCCGGCCCAGCCTCCCCACCTCGCTCCCCGTGGCAGGCCCAGCCCGCTCCTGATGGGTACTTTGGGCACAAACACAGCATGTGGGAAAACAGACTCAGTGTCTTGGGACAGATGCAGGAGCAGTTGACGCTTTCAGAGGCTATGTGCCAGGAGCAGGCATTCAGCTGACTGTGAGCGTCCCTGGTTCCTGTCCTTGTCACAGGTTCTAGCGTGGGGTCTGGCCTGAGCTCGCCCGTCTCCAGGAAGGAGCACGGGGACCTTGCTCCAGGAAGCACCATCTAGTGTTCTTTTGCGCCATCTAGGGGCCTGCAGAGGCACTGTGGGCACCTCAATGCCGGCAGCTTTGGACTGGGGCAGAAACTGTAACCACTGGCTCTCAATTTCACACTTGGTAGGTGCCATCTCATCCATTAAACACTTTGTGCCATTGTTCAAGATGTGCTCTTGGGCTGGGGTGGAGCTCAGTGGTGAAGCACCTGCCTAGCATGAGTGAGGCCCTGAGTTTAATCCCCAGCACCTAAAAAAAGAAAAGTGGTCTAACTTCTTTTTCACAGGTCCTCTAAGCCGGGCTGGAAGCTCACCAATTGCAAGCAGATCTGGTTTTCCACCTGGGTGCCAGCTCAGTGCCGGCTGGCACACATAGACACACTGTTGATGTATTATTCTCCTGATATCCAAGGTCTGGTCACTACCGGTCAAAGGGATTCTCTGAAGCTTGAGCTTAAACACACACACACACACACACAGCTGGGGATGGCTAGCAGCTGGGTTTCAGGACATGGATGGGGTATGTGGGCTGGGACAAGCCCCTGCTGCCCCAGTCAGTTACCAGACAGGAGGGTCTGGTGCTGGCAAGGAGTGCCACCGATGGACACGCACAGGTCGTTAGCACTCTTCTGGAAAGGTGACAGGAGCACGAGATGCAGCAATGGAGCAGAGCTTGGCTTCTTAAATCTGGCAGAACCAAGGGAAGGGAGGGGCTGGAGCAAAGATGTGCTAGGACCTGTTGCAGGGCCTCCTGCTCTGACAAGCCACCTGGAGCCTCCGGGCCCGGGGATCCTGGGGCAGCACGTGTGCTCCCTCTCCCCACTGACCTGAAGCTGGCCTGCAAGGACACCAAGCTCAATGTCCTGTTAGTGTTCTCCTGTCTTACCCTGACTCATCCAGGCGGCAGGTAACTCTGCTGAGGACCTGCATACAGTTGCAGCACTGTGTGTTGTAGGACACTGGTAACATTCTCAGCTAATTGCAAAATCAACACCCAAGGGAAATAGCTCAGTGGCACAAGCGCCTGCCTAGTAAGCACAAGATCCTGAGTTCCATTCCTGGTACAAAAAAACCCCATTAACACAGGCATGCTATTAGCCGGGTGTGGTGGCGCACGCCTGTAATCCCAGCACGTAGGAGGCTAAGGCAGGAGGATTGTTGTGAGTTCGAGACCAGCCTGGGCTACAAAGTGAGCTCAAGGCCAGCCTGAACTGCAAAGCAAGACCCTGTCTAAAAAAAAAGGGGGGGCGGTGGCGGGGATATAGTTCAGTGGCACAAGCACCTGCCTGGCAAGCCCAAGGTCCCGAGTTCGATTCCCCGGTACCAAAAAACAAACAAACAAACAAAACACCCAAGAAAAGACCTTGTCAGGGATAATGCTAGACACTTACATAGGCTAGCTCCTAAATTTCTGCCTCTAGGTAGGGTTATTTCCTTTGTGGTGCTGAGGATGGAACCCAGGGCCCTGTGCATGCTAGGCAAGTGCTACATTCTCATGCTCATGTAGGCGCATTTTAGACACAAGAAGACTGAGGCTCAAAGGTGGAGAGACTGCTTCAAGATCACACAGCAAGTTACATGATGGAGCTGGGATCTGGAACTAGATCTGTCTGACTCCACCGTCCACGACAGCAAACCGTGCTGTCTCTGCCCAAGAGTGGAGAATCAGAGGCAAACATCGAGCCCATGTAGGGTGAAGGATCTGTGGGGAAGCATTATGAAGATGTCATGCTTCACATGAGAAATGCCAAATGTTTTGTAAAAGCTCTGGACACAACAGTTGGGGGGTAACAATGAACAGGTCCTTGGCAGTGAACCCCAATTATACTGCAGACTTGGGGTGATAATGCGGTTGCTCAGCACATACGGGTGATCTGCTCCATCTTTTTTTTTTTTTTGCAGACAGGGTCTTGCTACATTCCAGGCTGCCCTTGAACTTGCTATGAAGCCCGGCTAGCCTCGAACCCTGAAGCTTCCTGCTTTGGCCTTCTGAGTGCTGGGATTACAGGCCTGTACCACCACGCCTGGGAAAAAGAAAATCTCAACGACAGAAGGATCAGTGGCTGCCACGGATTGAGGGAGGCGTGGTGGGGAGGAAAATGAAGTGTGGAGCGCAGGTGACTCCCTGGGCAGTGAAAGCCTTCTGTCCGATGCTGGACACAATCCACAACAGCCCACTCTGAAACGCTTTGCTGACAAGCAACCTGCGCTGAGAGTGGCAGGTGAGCAAGGGCTTTCAAAGGGCAGCTCCTCAGCAGACGGTCAGCGTGGGGCTTTGAGAATGTTCACTTCGCCATGTCCAATCTGGGACCCCAGCAGTGGCATCACCTAAGAGCTTGTTAGAAATGCAGAATCACGGGACTGGGGATTTAGCTCAGCGGCAAAGCGCCTGCCTGGCAAGCGCAAGGTCGTGAGTTCGGTTCCCAGTACCGAAGAAAAACCAAAAACCAAAAACCAAAAAAAAAAAAGAAATGCAGAATCTTGGGCCCTTCCTGGACTTACAGAATCATAATCAGTTTCTTTGTTTTTTTTTTCTTTCAATGCAAGGGATTGAACCCAGGGCCTTGTGCATGTAAGGTGAGCACTTTCCCACTGAGTTATATCCCCAGCGCTATTTCTACTTTTTGATAATTTCCCAGATCATATTCATGTCTGCAAACTTGGAATATTTCCTAAGTAGGGGAAATGGGAATGATTAAAATAATGTGCATTTACTATTCAATGAATTGTTTGTCACATTATGGAACATTAAAAAAAAAAAAAAAAAATCAACCCAGCCACCCCAAGTGGTGCCAGTGGCTGTGTTTGGATGGCCAGGGCAATGACTGCCCATGTCATTGGTCCCAGTGCACCATCTGGGCAGTGGGCAGTGGGACAGAAGGCCCCACCGGAAGCCCCTCGCCTTCCAGAATCATCCCCACATCAGGCTCCCTGGAAGGCAGGGGCGAGAGCCCTGGGAATTCCCACCACCTGTGCAGCCCCTGCTGGTGGAAGCAGGTTCTCCTCTGCACCTGCACCAGTTCCCTGGCACATGGCGGGGCCTCAGGTGTCTGTGGCAGCTGAAGCTGCAGTATCTGGCAGTGACAGGATCCAGCATGGACATCTCCCCATAGTCCTGCGGAAGGTCTCACAAGCTCTAGCCCTAAGCTCACACAGTCACACCTTCACTGCTGTAGCTGCTGAGGCCCCAGGGTAGGGGATGCGCAAGCAGGGGAAAGCTAGGGGTGTACAGTCAAAGCCCAAAGCCGTCAGCTGCAGTCCTGGTCACCGGTGGCTTTGTCTGCCCAGTATCTACTTCCCGGCTTCTGGTTGGGGCAGCCTTCCTTTGGGTTATTACCCTTCTCCCCACCCAGCTCAATGGGCCGCCAGCTGGCTCCACCCTGCCCCACCCTCCCCATTCATTTCCTGCCCCCAGCACGGGAGAGAAGACTAGAGGGCGGCACCTCTACCCGGGCCAGTCTGGTCAGAGTTAAGCCTGGGTTTGGAAATCTGGAATAAAGAGGCCCCTCCTGCAGAGGCTTGTGACCTGGGGCAATCAGGAGGGAGGTGGGGAAGGCTCGCTCTGGCCAGACCACGGAAGCCACACTAGGCTCACAGGCTGCCAGTGGGACCGCAGCTCTGCAGTATTGCAATCTTCAGCACGACTGTCAAAGACCCTGGTCCAGGGGCTGGGGATTTAGCTCAGCGGCATAGCACCTGCCCGGCAAGCGCAAGGTCGTGAGTTCAATTCCCAGTACCGGGATAAAAACCAAAGACCCCGGTCTGGTTTGCTTCTTCTGCTACCCCTCCTCCCACTCCTTGCTCAATACTTCACTCTGGCCACCTGGTCAAAAAGGAGCCCCCCCGTTCGGCAACCCGATGATCTCCAAGGCCCACAGGCCACCCAGCCTCCCCGGGCCTTTCCTGCTCTATGCACCAGGCCCTGCTGGCATCACTTGATCTTAGCCAAAAGGCCGAGAAGCGATGGGCCCTGCTGGCTTGTGAGGCTCCTGAGCTCAGGGTCTTCAGGTCTGATGTTTGCTCTGCTTGTTGGTCCTTCCAAAGACCCAAAGGCTTCCGTCTGCTTACATCTAGCTTTATTTAACTTTTTAGAAGTACTAGGGGTTGAACCCAGGGCATTTGCACTAAGCTACATCCCTAACCCTTTTTATTTTGAGGTAGGATCTTAGCTAAATTGTCTAGGTGGGACTTGAATTTTCCATCTTCCTGCCTCAGCCTCCAAGAGTGCTGGCCTAGACATGTGCCACCATGCCTGGATTCAGCTCACCCTTTTAAAAAGGGAACCCTCCCAACCTATGTTCAGCACTCTTACACCCTCTTCTTGATTTTCTCTTTTCCACAGCACTGATTTTTTTATTTTTTATTTTTTGTCTTTTTGAGACAGGGTCTCGCTATGCAGTTCAGGTTGGCCTTGAGCTCACTTTGTAGCCCAGGCTGGTCTCAAACTCTCAACAATCCTGCCTCAGCCTCCCGAGTGCTGGGATTACAGGCGCGCGCCACGCCCAGCCCTCCACAGCCCTTAGTATAGGTCAAGTTTTCCTTATCTGCAATGCTTGGAAGCAGAAATGTTTTAGATTTCAGATTTTTCAGATTTTAGAATATTTACATAGACTTAACTGGCCAAGAGTCCTTAATCCAAAAATGTCCAAATCTTTTTTTTTTTTTAAACCTCCAAATCTGAAATGCTCTAAAATCTAAAACTTTTGCAACATTGATGTTGACAATTAACATGTACCAAAGACGGAGGTCAGCGAACTCCAGCCTCAGCCGGCTGCCTGTCACTGTAAACAGAGTATTCTTGGGACATGGCCATGCTCTTTCATGTGGTCAGTATCCAAGGCTGCTTATGGCTACAAGGACAGTAGTCCTTGTAGTAGACAGTAGTCCTCTGCTTGCAGCAGAGACTACTGCCCACAAAGCCTCAAAAAAAAATTTTTTTTTGTCTTTTTGAGACAGGGCTTCACTATGTAGTTCAGGCTGGCCTTGAACTCACTTTGTAGCCCAGGCTGGCCTCGAACACACAGTGGTCCTTGTGCCTCAGCCTCCTGAGTGCTGGGCTTACAGGTGTGCACCACCATGCCAAGCTAGCCTCAACTATTTGCACCTGGTCCTTTAGAAAAAGTGTGCTGACTCCTGATTTAAAATACTAGAATGGGGGCTGGGGATACAGCTTAGCAGCACAGCACCTGCCTGGCAAGAGCAAGGTCCTGAGTTCGATTCCCAGTACCCCCAAAAAAGAAAGAAAAAGAAAAAGCGAGGTGTGGTGGTGCATGCCTGTAATCCCAGCACTCAGGAAGCTGAGGCAGGAGGATCACTGTGAGTTTCAGATCAGCCTGGGCTACAAAGTGAGCTCAAGGCCAGCCTGAACTGCATAGTGAGACCCTGTCTCCAAAAGACAAAACCAAAAAAACCAAAAAACAACTAGAATGGTATTTTGAATATAGCCTCCATAGGAAGGCAGGGAGTTGGTCAGTTTTGGTTACAGTCACATCCTTTGCCCCAGTAACAATGCCTGGCAACTGAGGGACTCTCAATAAACATCTGGGGGATACCACATAAACCAGCCGACCACGTGAGACTATGTCACATCCTGGTCTATGCTACCCTCTCCGTACGGCCTCAGGGGTTGCTCAGAGGGTCTCTCCCATGCCCTGTCTTTCCTGTCCGCACCCTTCCCCCCAAGAACAGTGAGTCCCTTCCTCCTCTGCTGCCTCACCCTATGCTGAAATGACTTGTCCACCTGTTGTTCTTTCCTAACAGACCAACAGTGGCTTGGGGACAAGGACCAGCCCTTATCTGTGCAGGAATCACGTACGCTGGCACAGGGGACGGCTCATCAATGACTGCAAATGCACATGTGGATGGAGGAAGGGAGGGAGGAAGGAAGGAAGGAAAGAAAGCAGGCATCAGCGTCCTGGTGCTGAGAATGCCCTGGTGCCTGGGTCACACAACCACCTCCTAAAGGTAGTAAAGAGAGACAAGTGGCTGAGGATGAACAGTCACAGCCACAAAGCTCTCCAAGCTCCTGAAGTCTAGAAAAATCCCAAAAACACCCCTTACTGATGCTGGTCCCATGAGATCTTTTACATAAGCTGCCTCCGCCTCCCCCGCAGTGGCACCCCTGTCAATCCATACCTCATACTCGATGGCGAGGTCTGTGTGGTCATCAATATCCACCTTGGCCATGACCACCTTCCCGCGCTGCTTGGCTACCATCTTCTCTAACCTTGGACCCAGGATCTTGCAGGGGCCGCACCACCTTGGAAGGAGAGAAAGGACGCACCCAGTCCAAGAGTGCTCACCACCCCATCCATTGCGTCCCGAGAGTCCCCCTTGACCCACAGGGACTCACGACTGCAGGGAGGGAAGCCAATGGGAAGTCTACAGGTGCCAGTGCTCGTGCCAGCACCCTCTCAGCTCTTACTGAGCAGAACCCCTAAGAGAAAGCATCAGCTGAAGGAACCGAGGCCCGTGTGAGTTAAGAAACCTGTGCAAGAGGACAGAGCTGGGACTGTAACCCAAGGCTGTGTTTGAAGCATTTCCTCTGGGTTACTGTGTGATCCCTCAGCTCTGTCAACTGCTATCCCTGCCCCACTCACACTGCACTGGGGGAGCGCTGTTCCAGGACTGACGCTGAGCTGTCATCTCTGTATGTGGCACCAAGGAGTGCCTGGCACTGAATGAACTGACATGTACCCCTTTTTGTTAAATAAATGAGGCTCTGCCCCATTGATCATTTGTTTTGGGAGCCCTATCACCACATCAGGAGGAGGGCAGGAGAACTTGTCTTCTACAAATCCCTGCTGACAACTACTCAGCTTTTAAAATCCTTTCCACTCAGAGACTTCAATCAATCAACACTTAAATACCAGGTCTGTAAGACCTTATGTCCAATTACAAGGGAAGAAAGGGAGTGCAAGAATACCAAATAGCTTGCCCAAGGCAACAAGGTTGGAACCAGACAGAAAGCAAAGAATCTGTCAGAGCCTAGCCCAGAAAACCTTCCAGTTTCTAACTCAGATGACATTGGTTCCTCCCAAGTCTCACTATAAGAGGGGTCCATCTGGCTTTTTTGTAGGTAGCCTAGGCAGGGCCTAACAGTCAGGAAATAAAGGGGGCCAGATTAAAAATCAGGCCATAAGCATTTGCATAGCTCTAGAACAAACTTCTATAGCACTTTATAGCACTTAATTTTGACTTCTTTTTTTTGGTACTGGGAATTGAACTCAGGACCTTGCGCTTGCCAGGCAGGCACTTGTGCCGTTGAGCTATATCCCAGGCCCTAACTTCTACAGCACTTTGGATGGTGGGGGCAGACCTCCTCCAGCCATCCCCTGTACACACGGCGCACCTGGTAATTTTGTCAGCACTCCCCAGTTTTAGTGGCAAGACATCAAAATAAAAATCAATTTATCTGTAGGGCCAGGAACTAGTACACACAAATAATGCTATGGTCCTATTCTTCCAACTTTGGTCCAAGTTGAAGATTACTCTGAGAGTTTTGGACAGTGAGACACAGAACACGGATATTTCCCAGTGGTAATAACAACCAGCTGTGAAGACTATTTATTAGTCTGTCTCCCACCACACTGTAGGCTCCTTAAGAGCAGGGCCTAGTCGTATTGGTCTTTGTAATGAGTCTATGAATGAGAAGTATAAACTATAGTCCTGGACATAGCAGGCACTAATACATACTTGAACAGGTAGGACCCTAGTCTTTCACTGCTCCCCACTACTCACTGGGCGTGGAAATCCACAACAACTGGTGTCTGACTGTTGACGACTCGGTCCTGAAAGTCAGGTCCATCCTGGATGTTAAAGGTTGTTGAGCAGGCTCTAGTGGTGACTACTGTCCGGGCTGGGCTGGGTGTTACTGTCAGGCCACCAGGACCGCACTGTGGGGTCTGCAGGGCCTTGGAGGTGAGGGGTGCCCACCGACCCTGAGGGAGCTTCCTGGAGATGACGGAGGTCAGGAACCTCCTCAGGAGAAGTCGCTGGGCCATCTGTGAGGGAAAGAGTCGAGACAAGCTGGGGTACACAGCAGGAAGTCCTTTGGGAGTACTGGGGTGGGGCTCAGGAAGAGGCAGAGCTGGAAGCAAAATACAAGGTAATACTGTAATGTGTAAGATTTCTGGAACAGAGGTCAGTGAGGAACTGAGAGTCAAAGGGAAGACGGTAAAACTGGAGGACAGGAAAACTGGGTTTCCAACCAAAAAGAAATCGAGGTCTACATGGAATTATAACAGAAGGAAGGGAGGGAGGAAATATTTGCAGACCACCCACAGAGCCCAAAAGCGTTAAGTACATCACTGGTTCTCTCAAGACATCTCTGGAGAAGCTGCTTTAGGATTGCCTATTTTACACATACGGAATCGAAGGCTCACACAGGTTAAGTGACATGCCCAAAGTAACCCAACTATTAAGGGACAGCCAACAATGGAACCCAAGGCCGCCCAAAAGTCCTTACCTTATTATTTTTTAAAACGTGTTTTGATGGGCAATTAAGAAGCGAGGGGAAGGGTTTGCTAAGGATTAGCAAAAAGGAACCACAACTACTGAAGGAGGAACTCGAGGCACAGGAACAAGGGGGGCGGGGACCAAAAAATAAGGGACGTGTGTGGAGGGAACCCAAATGGATGAACACGTGTGTAGCGGAAACTGGGGAATCAGGACGCTGTCAGGGACCATAGCTCTCCAGAGGGCCACATCCCCCCCGCCGGTTCACAGCTAGTTTTTGCTACAGCACGCCTCAGGGGTGCTTCAGTCGCGACACCACCCTGAGCCACCCCTGCAGGATTCCTACCTCCGGGAGGCGCGAGCGGAGGGAGTCACCACCCGGCCCTCCCCACCCGTCAAGGGCACGCCTGTCGTCACTTCCGTAGGGGGGCGGACCTTCAACCTCACTTCCGGGGCTAGGTAATTTGAGGGCGGTTCAGATTTTTCTGCCAATGGGAATGGCAGAAGGCACAGCTGAGGGGGCGGAGCCTCGGGGAGGAACCGGAAGAGACGGGCGGGCCCTAGGGGGAAGAGCCGGAAGACGGGGTGGGAGGAGGCGGGGCCTACGGGAGACCTTCCCAAGGGAAAAGAAGGCGGCTGGAAGGTGTGGTTCTGGACTCTGCAAACTCACCCTGCACAGCCAGATTTCGACCTTGTGTCCCAAGGACTCCTAAAAGTGCTGAGAGGTTCTTACCTCTCCATATTTCACATGAGACACCTAAAAGTAGTTCCCAGGGGCCAAGAGTATAGCTCAGTGGCAGGGCGCCTGCCTGGCAAGCACTAGGACCTGAGTTCGATTCCAGTACCAAAAAAGAAAAAAAAAAAAAAGGACGTAGTTCCCTTTAAAAGCATACACCCTACCTAGAATTCAGGAGCCCACTTTGTGGCTCTTGTTTGCTATGCACAGCTGTGCGTTCTCAGGGTTTCTGGCAGAGTCACTCAGCTTACCATTAAGTAACAGGAAGAGCCCGGCTGGTAGTGCTTAGGCGCCCCTCAGGCCTATCTTTGGAGCTGTTGGGAACTGGGACCTGATAAGGCCGCCCGTGAGGCTCCAGGGAAAATGTGGTGACCTGTGAACTTGCTTCGGCTGGAGCCTACCTTTCACATCATTCATAGCCACTGTCATGAACAGCGAAGGTCTAAGGATCTGCAGTGCCCTGCCTGGTGTTATGGCTTCTGCTTCTCTGCTCTGCATGCTGTATCTTATATTTCAACCATTCACAGCCACTTACAGTTCTATGAATACATTTGTTCTGATACATTTACAAGGCCATGCCTCAATTTGATTCCCCCCCTCCCCGTTTTAGAACGTCTCATCGCCTTCTCTCTAAGCAGCATTAATTTCTTCCTTTTCTCTAGTGCTTTGTGCATAACTCTTCATAACATTGTGGTATCTATGTCTTCCAAAAGACTACCCTTCCTGAAAGAAGGGATTTGTTAGTCATTGCCTTATGCCCATTGCCAACCTGGTATAGTTTCTGGCTCACAGTGGATGTTCAATAAGTGCTCAGTAAACTGAGTATCTTTGGACATCTCAGAGAGTGGTTTATAGTCAGAAACGTTGTGTGACTTTTCCAAGCCAAGAAGCTGGTAAATTGGCAGGACCTCTTCTGCCACATCCATTTCAATTTATACTCCAGCCAGTGGGAATCACTTATTTCCAGAATTTGCTGAAATGTCTCTTTGGTCCCTGCATTTGCAATTATTGCCTCTTGTGACTGGAAGGCTTTTCCTTCTATTCTGCTCAAGAAAACGCTACTAGATTTATTGTCTGTCCTTTATTCCTCCTTACTCTGCTGTCACCCCGAGGGTCCATCTATTTTTGCATTGTTGATGCATCACTGGAGGTATTCAGTGGTCATTCGTTCCCATGAACAGGGAGCAGTGACCGAAATCAAATCTTCTGACTCTGAATCCCATTTTCCCCATCACACTACATGGCTCCATTATACACTTCCAAAACTATTGCCATGTCTTTTCCCACTTCGTCCAGCTCATCTTTTACCACATTGTGCTTTGGTTTGTCCTCTGCCCAACTGGCAGTCTCACAGCGCTGTGCAGGGCTTTTCCTCAGGGACAGGATGAGGACATCCTTGGAACAGGTCCATCTGCTTTGATCACCAGCCGCCATAGTAGCTTTGCAGTTAGTAGAGTCCCTTGTCCACTGCAGGCAAGTACCTAGGTCAGGTGTAGCCAGGTATGGCTTTTCCACCCTGTTTGAGCTGTTGCCTTTGCCTCTGCCCTCACCCAAGATAGAGCCTATGTGAGACTCCCTCTAAAGTCCCCCGGCTCCTACTGAGGTCAGCCTCCTTTACTGCAGCTGTTGCTGATAATGCCAGATGCCATCTGGTAGGCGTGCTGCTTCCTGCCCATTTTCATATCTACTTTTCCAGTGTCTAGCACTTTCTCTTTCACAGCTTCCTATCAATCCTGCTCAGGATTTCACAGCAGTTTCTAGAGAGCCGGTTTCCTTGCTTAATGCACCTTCTGAATTCCAAGGCAGGATCAATGCTGTTTATCTTTATTCCATAGTCACTTCCCCCTCTGTCGGCCTCAGGCTTCTCAACTGAGAAATAGGAGGAATAACGCTTTCCTCATACAGGGGCTGTGAGATTATGGGACAGAGCATGGGGACTGGCACATTGCCGGGGCCTGATGCCTGGTGGAGTTCCTGTCCCTTCTGTAGGGAGAGAGCCTGTGAGATCACTGAGAAGGCTGAGCTCTCAGCAGGCTTCTTAGGGACTCCTCAGCCACATGGTGGCTCCTCTATCCAGCCAGAGCTGACCTGCCTGGGTCTGGCTTAGTCACAAGGCAGGTTCAGGGCACAGGCAGAAAACAAAGGAAAGGAATCTAGGACTGACAGTCTGGACAGAGCTTATGGGAGTGTTTTTTTTTACTGTGGGTTTGTGAAATTAGTGTGTTGTGAGCAGTTAAAAAAATAAAAAACAGAGTTGAAAATACCAGCTGGGCATGGTGGTGCATGCCTGTAATACCAGCACTCGGGAGGCTGAGGCAGGAGGACCGTTGCAAGTTCGAGACCAGCCTGGGCTACAAAGTGAGCTCAAGGCCAGCTTGAACTGCATAGTGAGACCCTGTCTCAAAAAGACAAAAACAAAAACAAAAACAAAAACAGAAGAAGAAAAAGAAAATACCAGAGTGCTATGTGCTATAAGTATTGCTTTATGAAATATCAGTTGCTATTATATCTATATGTCTGCATGACCTACATGGTGATATTGTTTCTCTAATGGGTCGTGGTCAAAGGTTTTGAAAGCTCCTGATTACTAAAGAGTTGAGAAGCAGTAGGCACTGTTCTAAATATCCTACATGTAGTAACTCATGTAATTCTTCAGTGCTATGAGGCTAGGACTGTTATAGCCTCCACCTTACAGATGAGGAAACAGAGGCACATAAAGGTCAGGTAGCTTGTTGTCCACATCACTCATAGACTAGGAGATGCTGGGGTGAACCCAGGGCTTCTCACGTCCTAGGCAAGTGATCTACCACTGAGCTACATTGGCCGCCCTTTTTAAATTTTGAGACAGAATCTCTCTTATGTTGCCTAGACTGGCTTTGAATTTGTGATCTTCCTGCCTCAGCCTCTGGAGCTGGGATTATGGGCTTATGTCACTGTGCCTCGTTCGTGAGGTGGAATCCTAAAGATGCCTTACTGTCCCTAGCAGCTTCTGTCTTGCCCTGGACTGCTGACTCCCCACCAGGCCCCCAGGAACCAGCTAGCCAGCGTAGGCTATCAGAGGACACATTGGAAGCTCAAGCCTGGGAGAGGTTGCTGGTTGAAGCAGCAGCTGTAAGCAGAGGAGCCCACACGATGGCAGTGTGGCTCTCCCAGCTGGGCTCTGCAGGGAGCTGACAGGGCTCTGGGATGCGGGCTTGCCAGCTCTGCAGGCCTGAATCACAGCGGACAGGGCCACAGGACAGTTGCAGCTGTGACCCTGTGGGAGAGGGTATCGTGGTGCAGCGGGCACTTTGGAAAAAGAAGGTGACAGTGACTTTAGGGAGAGCTCCTAGAGGGCCTTTGTTTTCAGTTTCTATCTCAAGGGTGATCTTGTGATCTTTTAAAAAAACACTTTTGCAGAACAGTTAGAATCGTAACTTAGATTTCACAATCCAGGAACTGGTTTTGTGTTCAGTTGTGATTCATGTTCTGTCGCGTTTCCAGCTATTATTACTGGAATTTAGGGGCAGATTCCTCGGTTTCCAGATCAGAATAGGCCAGGCTTGGCCACCTGTCCCTTAGTAACAGAGAACAGTGGTGAAAGGCAAGAATGGCTCTATAACCAGCACTGTCATGCTGGGAAGGGCCAATAAGGAGCTTCAAGATCTGGCTTCAGGGCCGGGGGGATATACCTCAGCCACATGGTGCCTGCCTGGCAAGCGGGCAGGGCTGGTGGAAGTATTATAGACAGCTAAGTTAGGTAGAAATATTGTAGGCAGTCAGACAGGGCTAGGCCCTTGAAGGAGTCAGTACAAAGGATGAGAACACATTACAACTGTGGTTGGAGGCGCATCTGTCTGTCGAAGGCCAGGCCTCAAGATAAAGACAGAATGACCAGGCCTACATGGCTCCCCAAGGGATAAACAATAAATTAAAGATTATACTATATCTGATATTACCCGGCCCAATAAAGTCTAGATAGGCATCAGTCACCTAGGTGAGTGATCAGGACCTCCTGACTCTTTTCTGCTAAAAAAGGTCCTTGTTCTTTCCATGTACGCTTGCTGTCTGACTTGCTCCCCATTGGGTCAACATTACCTAAGTGGCTGTACTTGTGATCTTATTGGTTTGATCATAGGTTATCCCACGTTGTACCCACCTCACAATTTTGCTCTATTAAACTTCGCTTGAGAAGTGGGCTCATTGGCAACCCACGTTTGGGTCCCCTTCTGTCTCTCAGAAGCTATCTCACCTAACAAAGTTTTCCTACTTTCTCGTTTTCTCTTTTTTTCTTCTTTTTTTGAGTAGGGAAATTTATTGAAGAAATGTAATGGGGAACAGGAATAGCTCCTGAGAGACAGGAGGGGCTCCAGAATGGGTTGCCAATGAGCCCAGCTCTCAAAGGAACTTTTGTAGAGCAAAATCATGGGGTGGGTACAACGTGAGTCAAAATGATGATCAGCCAATATGATTTCAAGTATAGTTTCTTAGGTAATACTGATCTAATGGTAGCAAGGGTACGTGGGTGACATCATTAACCTTGGTCGATAATCTA